CACAGAAAGCCCTTTGTGTAGCTTTGTGCTTAACTTCAAACAAACAAACAATGAAAGAGCAAGGATTGTTTGTAATTAAGCACAAAGCAACACGATAGGCTATCTGTGCTCTGCCCACTACGGGTATCGAAACCCGGTTTCTAGCGTTGTAAATCCGCAGACATACCGCTGTGCCACTGGGGAGGGGCAAAAGAGCAAGGATAATATAATATTTAATTTTGTTTATTGTTGAGCACGAAGCTACACAATGAGCTATCTGTGCTCTGCCCACCACGGGTATCGAAACCAGAATGATAGCGTTATTAGTCATCAGACTTGCCACTGAGCCATCGGGGGTGAGCGAAATATTTAATGAATGTGTCACCTTTTAAAACTCGAATGCAATTAATTATAGACGCAAAACAAATGTACCTTAATATTCATTAAATATAAAAACTTGACTGGAAGAGAAATAAGAGATTAAGACTGTTGCTGTTTTGATAATTAACATAAATTTTATATTTTTAGGGTAAAGAGACACGATTCTACCGTGAAATGGTGTGATATTGTTTACTGGCATCGTGTGACATTAAAGTTCATGTAAATATGTATAGCTTCCTATTTCTGGCCTTTGATTGGTTTGCTGCTAAAGGTTTTAGACAAAATGTACATTTACTAATGAATCAATTGAGACATATATAACCATAAAACTTTTGAAGAAGTTACGTATTGGGAGAAATCGTTGAATTAACTCGCTAAAATATTTGATGGATAAGTTATATGAGCACGTACAGTTCCGTTGTCAAGTGCATAAGTTATATGAGCACGTACAGTTCCGTTGTCAAGGAGGGGACCAGTATCTGTAATTCCAGGGGAGGGGGATGTTTAAAACAAAATAAAAAAATAAATAAAAATCTCTTCTCTGAAATACTTTGAAGGGGATAACGCCCCATCTACGTCTGTGGTCGTATATAACTTTTATTAAAGGGGATAACCCCATCTACGTCTGTGGTTGTATATAACTTTTATTAAAGGGGATAACGCCCCATCTACGTCTGTGGTCATATATAACTTTTATGGAAGGGGATAACGCCCCATCTACGTCTGTGGTCGTATATAACTTTTATTAAAGGGGATAACGCCCCATCTACGTCTGTGGTCGTGTATAACTTTTATTAAGATCAATTATTTAAACCATCTTCATTTTTCTTTCTCCTGTAAAAGAGAACTTTCTAGATTTTCCGGTTTGAAATCTTTGTAACTTCACCCTGTGTTATTAAAATATAACAGATTTTGTCCTTTTTCTTTCAATGTGTTTACCATATGTTTCTTTTACAGCGAAGCTATCTTGTATTTTAATTAAGCATTACAAAGTTCAGTACAAATAATGGAACAACTAACCATAAACTAGTCCTAAAACTATTTA